ATGGAGCTTTGGTATGGAAAAGTGATGTCTGCCAACTTAGTTATGGGATCACGAAGGAAGTCACAAAGGAGACAGAGTGGTAGGAGTCTTCTAAAGACTGCCAAGTCAAGAAGATTGTGGAACAAAGCTTTTATTAAAAAACTGGAAGAAATTCCCTCATCACAGGCCCTGCTTCTCATGTTGAGTCCTGAGCCACTTTGACATCTGCTGAATGAACACCATGCAGGGTGCAGGCAAGTTTTTGTCATTGTACCGGTGACAGCAGTGTCTGCTGCACCTGCAGGGACAATCATGAAAAGCTGAAGGGTGCTAGTGTCCCAGGAGCTAAACTCCTCTCGTGGATGGTGGGAGAAACAAGAAGCTGGCCCCATCTGGGATAAGGCGAAAATTACAGTGGGAGCAGAAAAAAACACCCAAAAAGTCAGAAACCAACAGAATTATTGATAAGTTCTCTTTAGATGTGCTGTGTGTAACACCAAGTGTGCAAAGAGGTGGTGGTTACAGCTGACTCAGGGCTTCTCTTCTGAAAACTAAAAATGGTTCATATCTCAAGTGTTTCATGGGAACATAACAATATTTTTGTCCAGTTTGGTCAGGAAGAGTTTCTTTGTTCCATGCTGGAATATCCAGGTGGGAGCAAGTCTCTTACAGCCACATGAGATGGTGAACAGCACATTTGCTTGGTGTGAGTTCCACATCCAACACTTGCTGTGACACTATTTACAAAGGGCATTAGAAGTTACTGTGACCACAAAGACTATTATTTGGGGGGCAGAGGGGATGTGGGGGGATGACTAAGGTTATGGATTAGTGTGTCAGATTTCTTTTACTGCCCTTTTTGGAGCTCTTTAAATAATTTAAATATACATTGAGCAAAGAGTTGAACATGACTCTCCTGTTTTGCACGTGAAGTATCTAAACACAGGGCTGAAAAAATGTTTGAAGGAATGGAGGAAAGACAGCATCCAAAGTCTCTTTTTCAGGACTAACCACTGACTTTTTATATCCTTGCTGTGTACCACAAGCATAAAGCTTGTGTCCATTCCAAAATTTATTATTGATTATCTTAATTTTATTTAATTGAAAACATTGAAAATTTCTTGTAGAGAAAAATAATCTCAAATATAATCACAAAATGGGGATTTTCTTCCTGAGGCAGTTGCTTTCTTAGAAAAGATGATTCCTCTTCCCGAGCTGAGCTGCCAGAACTCTTCCTTTGCATGAAAGTCCCATTAAAGTGTCACAAATGTCATAGATGGTTGGCAGTGCAGAATCATTGCTACTTGTTGAGTACATGTGTCCAAGTAGAGAATAAATTAATAAATCCCCATCTGAGGATTTGGGGTGGGGTAATAGAGAACTAAATTAAGGTATTGTTACTATCCTAAATATATCTGATACCAAGCTGTAGCAAAATGAACTAGCACAACCAAAAAAACTGCTTTTCCCCACCCAGTGTGGGTAAGAGTGGGCAGTTGTGGGGTGTTCACGTGTAGGGACAGAAAATGCAGTTTTATATCAGGAAAGCACAGCAGGTAAGGACTTCCATTCCTTCTGCTACAGACTAAATTGTGAGCTGTTTGCCTCAGCACAAATTCAGCTGGTGGAAAAAAGGCCCCTATATATCTCATTTCCAAAGGTTTTACTGTGTTTCAGTACTCAATAGTACTGGAATATATGTAAATATTGGTATCTCCTGTCACTCCAGTGAACTTTCTTTTATTGTATCCCTGAATGAACACATTATTTGGGAGTTTACTGGTGACTGGTGTCTCCAACAGTATGACAGTGAACTCCAGGCCTGACCATAACACAGTAGCCAGATTGTGTTGGTGGAAGTTCCCGTTGTATCGTTAGGAGTTTGCATGCTTGAATTCACACTTTGCAAAGCTCTGGAGAAGTGACAGTTTACACAAGATTGCAGAGGATGAAAGAAGACCTTTATTAAGTGCATGTCTAACCAGGATGAATATCTGTGTAGGCTGGTGACCTAGAGGTAACAGTCTTGATTGTGTCTTGGGCACGTAGGAGCAGAATGGTCTCGATGCATGAGCTTCTTTTTTTGGAATTCACTTTTTTAGTGGTCCTAAAGAATGCAAAACCCCTCAGTTTAAGACATTTTTGAGGCTGCAAATGTTCATTCAGGCTTTGCCTCTGAAAGTGCAAGGTGTTTACTTTTTAAATAAACCTCTTTGTAGATTTTCTATGGGTAGCAGTTGACTGATGTTACATTTTTGCCCCCTCGTCACACTAATGCTCAAAGACTTTTATTTTGAGCTATTTGTGCTATAAAGAAAAAAAACAAAAACGGGTACTCAATGCTGTGTCTACTTTTCTAAATAAAACAGGACCAGCATTACAGCAGATTTTTAGTGAAGATTTTTTTCCATTAAAATGACATATTCTCCAAAAGGTATGTGCTATTTTTAAGAAGATTTTTATACTGTAGTCTTTAGAATTAAAATTTAAAGGGAATATTTTGTGGGCTAAAAGGAAAAGCAAGATGTTTAAAGACTGTAGCAGATGTGCTCTTATGCTTAAAGTGAAGATTTAAAAAATTCTTTTAGCAAGTGTAGTCAGGAAAAATTCATCACTTCATACAAATACACTGTGGGCACTGAGTCAGAAATGGGGAGTAATGACATCAATATATTCATCTTAAAAAATGTTTGGTATGAACACACTGTCTTTTCTCTATGCCTCACAAATCCTGAAAATGCAATTCTGTTCTGGATTTTAATTTCTACCAATGAACTGCCTCCTCTCAGTACAATCTAATAATTCATAAGGTACTGCCATGCTGAAAGAGACAATGAGGTTAGACTCATTAATGGCCCTAGGCTGAGACGTAGCTCCCTCTCCAAACTCCTCTGATCACTCATCTTTGCCTCTTGCTGCTGAAGGGCTGTTCAGTGCATGCACACCAAGCCTGTTTTCACTGGAGACACAGGAGGCCAATTCATTGTCCAGATTCCCCAGTCAGCCATGTGCTTTCTGAGTGCTTCCAACCAATTCATTCTCAGACCCTCCAACACACAGAAGAATTTCTGCCATGTAGGAGTTGGGCAGCTCACTGTGTTTAAGAATCAGAGCTGTAAAATCTCTGTGCTTCTGGTCTCTCCCCATGCAACTGGGATTTGAAAGCAAAACAAACAAAAAACCCAAACAACAAAGTCCTTCCCATTTCATATATAAGAAAAAAAAAAAAAAATCACCTGAGGCCCTCAAAACATTTTAGTGGCTGAAATCTGAAGCCATCTTAAAAAGAAATACCCAAGAAAAGAGAGTATCTATGTGGAAAACAAATATAAGGACAAGATCTATTTTAGCAAAGATCCTACCCTGCTGGAAACCTAATTATTAAAGTACAGGGAAAAGAGTGGACTGACCCAAGCAAAGACAAGTGGTTGATCATCTCAATACACATGCTCAAAGCTCATTTTCCAGCTCAGCTCATGCATTAGCAGAGCAGTAAACACTATGACTCCTATGGAAGAAAACTGAGGTGTAGGTTAAGGTTTCTCTGCCCAGATTTATCACTTGGGTTACTTTCCTAGGGTAACTGTCTCATATAAGAATAGAATATAAATGGGTAAATGAAATAGAAAATCTTTAATAGAATATGGGAAGTTAGTGTGAGACTGTTTCCCTCACAAACCCAAAGGAGAAAACTCTCTAACATCTATGCAATAGATTCCTTCTTGTTTGCATAAAGGAATTCCAGTTTCTTCTCTGTTAGCTGCTTAGTGAGTTTATTCACTGGTCAGATAGGATTGATTATGCCTTACCATTAATTGTCTTGACTTACATTTATGGATTTACTTGTTTCGAAATGTACTTTTACTTACTCCCTGGCTTCCAGTCCACTCTGTCCTAAACAGAAGAAATTTGAGTTGCACACTACTAATGTATTGCAAGTTACAGCACTTCTAATACAGGTTTTGTGCCAGAGTGCGACATTGGTGGTTGGGCTCTTTTTACCCAGGACCAAGATTGATGAGAGAGACTTGTTCAGGCTTAGTTGTTTATTCTTTCCTTATCTATATTACATATGTACAGAGTACAAGGAGCTACATACACTAAAATAGAAAGGTGCAAAATGGAGAATGAAGAATCTCTCCAAGGTCTTTTATGCGTCTATTTGTCCAATAATCAAATGCCAGGTAAGTTATTTTTCTTAGTGACCCAAAGACCCAACACATGTGTGTTGCACTGCAGATTTCTTTGTCCAATCACTCATTATTACCAAAAAACCCTTAGAAGAAGATGAAGGAAGAAGAAAGAGAAAGGGAAAATGCCCTAATCCCTCCGTATTGTCCCTCATTCTTTAATATAGCTTAAACCCTAAACTCTAACTTTCTCATCCAGTGACTTAAGAAAACTCTATCTACTTACACACTCACATTCCCAGTTTTTCTGCTTAACTTCAAAAGCTGTCTCCATGGTGTTATGCTAAACTCAGTGCTCTCTTGGTGTCAGAACCAGGCACCACAGATAAGGGCTTATTTTCTGTGCTTCTGACACCAACAGTATTGCAATGCCTACAAATCTGGAGGTTGTTCAAGAAGGTAAATCCTAGAATTACAGAATAGTTTGGGTTCCAAGGAACCTTTAAAGTCATCTAGTCCAATGTCTCTGCAATGAGCAGGAACATTTACTAGATGGCGTTAGTCAATAAATACCTTATGCTAGCAGAATGAAGAAGAAATCATCCATCTTTAGAGAGCAAGAAGAATATTTTGTTTACAAGCACCTAAATGGACTAAGCCTGCTCAGCTATGTGTGCTGAGCACCAGCCAGCACCACTAACACTGCCCACAGTGCTTTCACTGGCAGCAGAGCCACTCAGGCACCTCTAAGTCCCATTCATTCTGTAATGTTAATTTCCAGATGCTGCAACTGGGGGCAAATTCTGTCACGTTAAACATGCCCCAGTGAATTAGCCATCTAATTTAATGAAAAAGGTTTTCTTCTATCAAACACATAAATGTGGTCATTACCATGGTCCTTGAGCATAAGATGCTGCAGTCATACAACAGTCATTGGTCATGAAGAGTCCAACTGCCCCCTACTTTCTACGTATGCTTCCCTGGAAGAAGGAGAAATCCAAACAGAAGAGGCATTTTGTATGCATTTGCAGTGTGTTGCACACACTTTGTCTGCTGTCTTAAGATGTGTTAACATTTCTAAATAAAAGAAAAGAATAGGCTTGACTGGTTTTTAACTGGCAGTCTCCTTCTCCTATCTGCCTCCCTGGCTATCTGATGATATCCTGGATGAAGCTGCTCATAAGCAGCTTGGACCTGAGCATGTCCATCTCTTGGTCACAAAACTAAGGTTCAAAAATCCCCCCAAAATATAGATAGATTCCAAATATCCTTGCTTTTACTTATGTTTAAACCAGACTTTTGGAAATATGGAAATATATTTGGAAATATATCTTTAAGCAGTGGCAGGGGGTATGCAATTTTCACATATTAATAGCCTAACAGTATCATACAGAATCTATTCAAATCAACAGAAGCTTCACTAAACAGTGCCTGGTATATTACATTTTTTGCTTGCTTCTACCTCTCAACCAGGAAATGAATGTGTCTCTGCTGAAAAAGTGTTTGTTGTTCAATGAACTTTTCAGTTCAAGAAGATCCATCTGTCTTTATTTCATCCATCTTTTCCACTGAAAGAGAGAATAAGTTTCAGTTTTCAAAAATCTGATTATGTGGCTTGCATTACAAAACAGGCAAAAAAAAAGCATCTGATTAATTTGAAGATTCCCATTAGTGATATAAAGAACACAGTTGGGTTTTAATTACTGTTTTCATACAACCAAGATGATCTAACAAAGCTGGTTATTTTGGTGTTTGCCATTGCTTGTTTCTTTAAAATAAAAGCAGACGTATCTTTAAAATTTTTACATTATTTTAATTACAAACCACTTCAATAATTTCTTTAATCAACTCTGCTATAACTAGTTCAAATTAATTCCTGCCCATAACATCTGGATATTGCAGTAGTGCACATGCTCTATAAAAACATACATTTAGATCAATCATATCCTGAAGCAACATATGGATGAAACTGATATTCCATCACAAAAGAGATGAAAGTGGATGTCAACCTAGCCAAAATGTGCACTAGGTGTGATGTCAGGTACTTAACAAAAAATGAACACTGCCGTACTGGGAATTCTGTCCATAGCTTTGATCCTTGACAACTGCACTTAAAAAATGCCATATGCACAAAAGGATGAACAGAATATTGTTCTGCAGTTTTCTGGGAAAGCACAGAGGCCGAAATACGTCAGAGAGCAATACAGGAGACCCAGTAATGAAACACAAATATATTGCTCTGTGAAGTTGCTGTTCAATTTATTCAAACGTTTTTGGGCAGGTCCTTCTTCAGTGTTGAAGGCTAATAAAGGTTCTGTGAACATTAAATCCCAATCTACACCCTTATGCAAACCCCAAAGGCCCATGACATCCCATTTGCTTTTTGGGGACCTCCCAGAGCTCCTGGAGCTCAGAGGGGCGTTAGCTATCTGCCTGTGGGTTGAAAGGCAAATCACAGCTGAGATGGGGTTTAAGAAACAGTTTCTGGCTGCCCCTCATCTGTGCACATCCTGGCTGGGACTGGAGCCCATCTGTGCAGGCATCCCCTTCATTTCTGTCCTGGCAGGAGAAAGCAGTATCTCCTTCAGAGCTGAGCCTTCGAGGAACAGAGGAGGGTGGATGCAATGTGTCATCACAGGTGTGCAAGGCACCCCGTGGGCTCTAGCCACACAGATGAGATTAATACAAAAAGAAAAATGGGAAAATGAAGAATCCACATTGAATGCCTGGTTTAACAGCCATGAACTGGTCATATTTCAAATACTATTTTCTGCATTCTTAATGTGACTGTTCAATGATGCTTTCTCTTTCATTCTCTTCAAAGACGTTACTTTTAAAACTTCCCTTCACCTTTGGGTCCAAAACTTTGCTTAAAATAAGCGTGGATTCTTCTGCTTTCTATCAGGATGAGAAAACAGCACACAAACTGTTTTGTGATAAGCTGCTCATATGATCTTTCCAATGTGGCCTGTAATAAGGGAGCAGAGCAAATTTTACGAGGAAGCCCATAAACTTTTCAGCTTCAGTCAAGCCTCTCATTGTGTGCATTTTATTCGTATCAACATTCTTCCCACTCAGCTTCTCATTGACCCCACAAGTCAACACTTGCTGGAAAATAGCACCCTCAGAGAACAGCCTGTTTCCAAATGACCATTGTTCATTTTCTCCTTAGATCTTATCTCACATACATTTCTTCTGAGAGCCACCAGTGGTAATAATCACCTCCTTTCCAAGAACATGTGAGTAAATAGCTCCAGGGTGTTGTTCTTTATGTAACTGGGAGTTGGACTGGGATGAAACAGAGGAGGATACTGCTTAAACAGAGACTGCTTGATTGTTTTGGTGAATCCACAGCACTGCATAGCTGAGCAATATTGTCTCTGTAATTTAAGGGACTGTTTCATTTGTGTCCTTGTCGTACATTGGTGCACAGAAAATTTCTTCCCTGTTCCTGCTCACAGCTGCATGTACGTGTGTAATTTATCTTCATCATGCCTAGGCATAAAGCCAGGGAGGGGCATGGGAAAAGCTGTCCTTCTGACTTTTTCATTTTCCCGTATGAAGAGGTTCCTGTGTTTGCTCAGCTGGGGAGAGTTGCTGCAGGCTTCCTAGGTCTCCCGCTGAAGTGGCACCAGGATGTAGTGCTCAGCCCAAGGGCTCTTCCCAGTGGGAAGGCCAAGCAGCTCCTGCTTTCAGACAGCGAGGATGTTTTGTAAGTAGCAATGCAAGAACTGAATATTCTGAAATGAGAACCTAACCTCAGGCTCTTTTTGAGATACATCTTTATTTGTAAAGAACAGAGGTGTTTCCCAGCACTTTGGTGCTCATTGTTCAGGGCTTCTCTGTGACTCCAGAGGAAATGTCTGGGAAGGAAAACTACCTTTGCAGAAGGAATCCCAGGCTTGGGATGTGAAGTTCAGGCCGGATTCTCTGTTGTTTCTGCATCCTCCTGGAAGGGGAGGCTTGCTTTCACTTAAAGCTACACAAACAAATCCTCTGAATAAAATTCAGCGTTGTTGATTCCATGTAGTGTGCACAAGTGACAGAGGCAGCCTGCTATCCTTACCTTCCTCAGTGCTATCCTTATCCTTCCTCAGTGGGATGCACAGATCATGGATTACACAAAAAACGGCAGGAGACATGTTGCCTTCCTTTAAGAAAAACCTATTGTCTTCCTTTAAAAAAAGCCACTCCCTTAGAGGCCCTTTCCAGCAGCAGCCCGTGGTGCAGAAACTCGAAATCACGGACACATGGAACAGGAGCCGCCGTGCCCGCCCCACACGGGGCTGCACAGCCCGGCCGGGATATCGGGGAACGGGCCGGGGGAGCCCAAAACACAGCTCGGCTGCGCCTCGGGAACCGGCTTTTCCTCCAGAGAGACTGGGCTGGGCCGGGGCTGGGCCG